GAATTCAACTCGGCTGTGTGCAATAATTCTCTTAGAAACCTTTGAATAGCTGTGTGCTCTTTTATCTTAGTGAAATCTTCTTTCTTATTTTCTTTACCTTTTTCTTTTATTTCTTTATTTCTTTACTTTTTATTTTCCTTCTTATTATTATTAAAAAACTATCTTATTATTATTATACATCTGTGTGGCCTTATATATCATTGTCTGAGTGACATTATATATATCTGAGTGATCTTATAAACCTAAGCGATTGTATAAATCTTTGTGAATTAAGATAACAGTTAGGCCTTCGTGATAATAACAGTCATTGTGAATCTGTGGAAATCCACGAGTCATAGTAAGTTACAGTTAAATACGTTTGAGTGGAACCAATTATAAATCCAGAACTTAGGAATAAATCAGTAAATTACTACGTACATCAAAAAGAAACAACTCTCGAACATCTCATTTAACTGTAGCGATCCACCAAAATTGCACGTTAACAGTTTCTTTGAGATGATTTTTTAATCATTCTTAATGAATGATCGATCTATTATTCCAAAGGAATAATATTTTTGATTATTCTTAATGAACGATAATGTATTATTCCTTTGAAATAATTTTTAATCATTCTTAATGAACGATCAATCTATCATTCCAAAGGGACGATTTTTTAAATAATTCTTAATGAATATCAATTTATCATACCAAAAGGACAATTTTTTAAATTGTTCTTAATAAATGATGATGTATTATTCTTTTGGAATAATTATTTTGATTGTTCTTATTGAATGATGATTTATCATCCCAAAGAGATGATTTTTTAAATCGTTCAATAAGAACGATGATTATTGTACCTTTATGATGATTTTTTGACCATTCTTATTGAACAAAAATTTATTATTCCAAAGGGATAATTTTTTTGATTGTTCAATAAGAACGATAATATATTATCCCAAAGGGATGATTTTTTTGTTCAATAAGAATGATAATGTATTATTATAAAAGAATATTTTTTTAAATCATTCTTCTTGAATGATAATGTATCATCTCAAAAAGAATGATTATCTTTATTATTTCTTAGAAACGATTTGTATCTTCTCTTAAAAACAATTTCTATCATTACTTTGGGATGAAGTTTTTAATCAGACAATTTTGTATTATTTGATTGGACTAATCAGAATTGAAATTTTGGCTTAACTTTAATCAACCATAAATCATATAGGTTAATTTAGGTTGATTAATAATTATATCTGATTGACAGATGATTGATGAATGATTTATTACATGTCTGATTTTTTTGATTTCAATCAGTATTAATAAATTTACAAATAAAACTTTATAAATTTGATAATTAGTCTGGAATATAAAGTATAGTAAAGTTTTAAATTTAAAAATCATACTTTTTCAACATTACATAAATAATTTTACTATAGAAATTCAATTTATTATAAGGTGATTATATTACAGTAGCGAGCAAAAGAAACACAACTCCATAACACAAATAATTGTAAATCATTTTTAATTGGCCCAATTAATTATCCTTGTATTTTATTTAGATTTTCACACAACTTGTATCTCATTTCCTTTTTTAAATTTAATTTTTACAAAAAAAAATATTTTTTTTCTAAAAAAAAAACTATAACAATGTCTAAAATGTCACAATGTCAAAGTCTTACATTTTACCTTTTTTTACAATGGTTTGACTTAGTGAAGAGCAGAGAATTCGTATATGCACTCTGTTAGATGAAGCAGTTTACACACAACCCGAACTTACTGCACAATATAAAGTTAATAAAAGTACAATACTTCGGCTTTATAATAAATATAAAGAAACAAAAAGTACTAAAGACTTACCAAAGTCAGGTCGTTCTCATATTTTAACAAATCGGGAAGAATGCAGAGCAGTTCGTTATATTGTTAGTGGAGAGTGTTAAACCGCGGTTCAAGTTCAAAAAAAGCTTCTTTCTGATTATAAGCTTGAAGTTTCTCAAAACAACTATCCGACGAGTATTTAAAGATAATGATTTTAAATCAGCAGTTAAGGCAAAAAAACCATTGTTATTACCTTAACATAAAAAAGCGCGTTTTGAATTTGCTAAGAAATACAAAAATTGGAATTATGATGATTGGTGTAAAGTAATATGATCAGATGAAAGTAAATTTAATCTTTTCGGTTCTGATGGAAAAAAGTATTGTTGGAAGAAGAAAGGTGAACTATTAAAAGATCAACATGTTAAAGGAACAATGAAGTTTGGAGGTGGTGAAATTTTTGTATGGGGATGTTTTACATCTCGTGGTATTGGCTATCTATGTAAAATTGATGGTAAAATAGATGCTGAACTTTATTGCAAAATATTGGAAGAAGATTTACTAGAAACCCTTGAATTTTATAATTATAATGTAAATGATATTATTTTTCAACATGATAACGATCCAAAACATAAGGCTCATATAACAAAAGATTGGCTAGAAGAACATAATATTATTGTATTGGATTGGCCGGCACAATCACCGGACTTAAATCCTATTGAACATATGTGGAATGAATTAGATAGAAGACTAAAACGTTCTGATAAGCCTATAAAAAATAAAGAACATTTATGGGAAAGAATATCATTGACCTGGAATGAGATTGAAATTGATGCTTGTACTAAATTAATTCAAACAATGCCTCAATGAGTTTCAAATGTATATAAGCAAAAGGAAGGGTATACGAGATGGTAGTATAAATTTATTATTTAATTTAAATATAATAATAATTTAATTAAATTAACTTTTTTTTTTAAATAAACTTTTTAATTTACATAAAATAACACTTCTTATTTAATTTTATTAAAAAAATTTTTTAAATTTTGTTTAAAAAATTTAAAATAACGAATAATAAAAATAAATGATTGGATTATTGAATTTAATAAATTAAACTTTTTTTTTACTTAAATAAAATTTATATTTTTTTTATTTAAACTAATATAAATTTATATAGTTAAATAGCCATAGTTCGGAGCTTTCAAACAAAGTAATTTTTATATTCGTAATATACGATCACGTGAAATTAAATGATCGACAAATTTTTGTATCACCTGGTTGTGTTTCTTTTGCTCGCTACTGTATATTACATAAACAACTTATCTAATATCTTAATAAAAGTTATTTTTTTATTAAAATTAATAACTTTTTCAAATAAGATTCAGTTAGGTCCAGTTCTACCAAGTTTTATTAGAAGAAACTTGAAAAATACTTATAAATTATGTAACTTTAGTATATTTAGTTTGTAACTTTTAAAGATAATAAAACTTAATAAACTTTAGACTTTTTTTAATAAAAAGTCTTCAAAATTCATATGAGCAAGATTAAAGAATAAAATGGATAAACTTTTCTTAACATTTTTTATAAAACTCTAAAATCATATATCAATTTCTTATAAAAATTAATTTTAGCCAATCAGGATTCTTGTTAATTAACCAATAAAATTCCTGACCTATGCTAACATAATGATTTTTTTTTTTACATTTTTGAATTTGATGCGGTAGTGCATCTTAAACTTTATTAATAAAACAAGTAAAGTAATATAATTATATACAAGAAGTCTATGCAAAATAAAAGATACTGTTAACGTGTAATTCTTGCGAACTACAACTGTTAGACGGGGTGTCAGAGTGTTATTTCTTTTTAATGTACGT